CCTGTGCAGCAAACAGAAGCTCAAGACCCCAGAGTTTCAGTCCCGCATGAAGACAGTTAAGCTAAAACTGCATTTCGGCCCCCCTTTTCCTTTAACCTAAGACTACCTCACAAAAAGCATTAACAGTGCTGAATTTTCGTTAAGAATATGTAAATGAGTTATGCAAAAAAGAAGCCTGGGGAAGGAGTAGCATACAAACTCTCAAAGGTACAAATGTGTTGACAAGCCTTCGTTTCCCTCCAAACGCGGCTTGACTATTGTCCTGAGAAAATGTGCGCTGTTGTTCTTTTTTAAGGACTCGAAGGTACTGTGGAATCCCAATAGGGACACGGTTAATTCGACAAACACACACACTACGTGAGAACAGTGAGGAGAGAGAGATTGTGTGTGTTTGTGTGTGTAACAGGAGCTTCTTCTGGTGGGTTTTGTGCCCCAAATCTTGTGATAGCCTCCCCCCACAAAGCACATCAATTTCCCACCAGCGTGCCCAGGAAGAACTTCTTCGCTTCCATTTTTGTTTGTTTGTTTTTAAAGTGCGTTCAACTGCCACGACCTACATTGTCCCGTGAGGCGTCAGCGTTGAGTAATAACCAGGGAATTTCAACTCCACCACAGCACAGCAGCCAGTAGTCTGCGTTGCGCTGCTCACCGTGGGGGTTCGTATCCGGCCGCCATGTTCCCTACTCTAAAGCCGCCCCCAAACCAACCCTTCTTCCCACATCCCTGTCCTTTCTTCCCACCAACCCCCGCTTAGGCGAGGCCGCCCTCCCCGCGAGGCTCCTTTCAAACTCACCACCACTACCACCACCCCCTAGCCACAAAATCCTCCTCGACGGCTGCAAGACTACGCGCCTGCGCGCCGCGCCCGGGAGTGTGGGGGTTGGGGGAGTCCTATGGACCCCGCACTCTGGCTTGAAAAGGCCGAAGCCACCGGGAGTAGGGGAGGGGTTGAGGCCCGGACTGGAGCCTCTTCTGTCCTTCCTGCGAGTCCCTACTAAGGCGCCGGCCGAGCTCTCACACGTGCGCGCTAAAAACCCACTTCAAAGTGTGTTCCCAGTGAAGAGGAGGCCCCTTTTGGGTCAGCCTCATACTCAGAGCAGGCCGCCTAACGGGCTGGAACCTGAGTGCCTCCATCCCTGGTACCACAAATGCGTTTGGAGGGCCGAGCAAGAGGGTTTTCGCGGACCACTGTGGAGAGGCAGCAAGCGCCCTCTGGGCACCACCGTCCTTACTCCCACCCCCACCTCCAGTGGAAAAGGAATTGAACACAAAGTTTGTTGGCAGCTCTATGCTGTAGCCTTCGGAGCTCGCCATTGTTTGGGCTCGTATTGACCCCAGGTCGGGATTAGGCAGAGGCTGATTTCTGCTTTACAGCCCCGACAGCCTAATGAGGCCGAGAGGCGATGGGGCGCGAAGCCGCATAGGAGCCAAAGGCGATCCGCTAGCTTATGGCCGCCAAGGGTCCTGTTGGTGGAGGTCAAAGGGTCAGCGGGCAGAAACCGCGAGAGAATTGACGTTAGGAAATGAGGTCCCCCTCCTCTCTAGCCAAACCTCAAGGGGAGATTTAGAAGAAATTCGTGTTGTGGACAAGGTCCAGGAGCTTCCTAAGGACTTATGAAACCTCTGGTGTCACCCTCCCTGCTTTATACCCAGCTAGAGCCCAATTGGAGCCTTGGCTCTCCAGGGCCTGTGACAAGAGAGGTATAGGCACTAGTATAGCAGTACCTTTCATTCAGCTGCTGGGACAGCCTGTCAGAAACTTACAAGTTATCATTTCTTTGGACTTCTGGTTTGATTTGGGTGGATTTTCTTAGGAGGAAAAGATGTGGAAGCCAGCCAAAACACGGAGCAAAAGAGGCAAGGACAAGTCAAGCAGAAATGGGGAATACACTAACTCTCCTGGAAGGCTTTGGGAACACTAGTTCATCCTTCACAATACCTACTAGACAGTCATGCTTAGCCTGGATGCTGATCTTTGAACCTTCCAAACCAGATGAAGGCCAGGGTTCATTTGTCATGCTTGGAAACAGCTATCTCCCTTTCCCCTTACTTAACAGTTGGGACTTTTAAGCTAACCCCCATTTATAGGAGTAGATTACTAAGGACCTAGCTTGGACTTTGAGTTTTAGTATTTGTGACATGGTTGTGTGTGATTATTCTCTTAGGCCACTTACTTTAAATTCAAGAACATAAATACCCACTCCCAATGCCAGATTATCAGCAAGAAAAATCAAAGAATTAAAAAAAAATCAAGAAAAAATTGCATAAAGTACATTTTTGAGAAATTTGCTGTTCTCAAATCAAGAAGGAATCATTAGAAGCACACTTTTTATAGTTATTAGGTTATCATTGTTATTTGTCAGCTTCCTCTCATAGGACACTCAGTGCTGTCTGTCAATATCTATAGTAAAATATTTTCAAGCCAGTAAGAAAACCTAGAACTATTTGTGTCTGTTAATGAGATCTTTCTTGTTATTTAATTAATGTAAGCAAGGGTTTTAACCAGTGTATTCAACCTATCTCTACTTAAAGTTAGGTTAGGAATGGGTCAGCAGGGAGGGAACCCATGGAGAACAGTAAATTGTGGAGGCTCATTGAATATGGAGAAGAAAGGCTAGGCATTTGCATTTCACAATGACACATTTTTTTAACAGTCAGTCTTATGATTAAAACTTTTTCTGAAAAATTGCTGAGAACTTAAAATGATCTCTGGTCTGTATGAGAGAGAAAGTCTGAAATATCGATCTGGCCCAAACCCTCCAGTGTCAAGGTCAAGACTGGAATGGCTGGGAAGGGTGTGGCATGGGTTACCTGCTCTGCACATGAGTGATGATTCCAATTAATGTTCTTGGCTTTCAGACTGGTACTAGCAAAGTGAAGTGCAAAAGACAGCATTTTTCACTAAGAAAATATTGCTTCCAAAGCAAATTACAATTAAAAATTGCCAGTAATTAATCATTGACAAAAAAATAAGTAGATAACAAAATCAATTGTTTCAATGTATCCTGGGAAGCAAAGGTTGTTTTAAATCACCAGAAATCCTCTAAGCATTTCAATTTTACATTGATTTATTTGAACATGGGAAAATATTGGGCACCAAATACAAAAAATGTTATAACATAAATATTTTGTGCCAAGACTTTATTTCTTCAAAAAGAACAATCAACAAACGTCTAGAATTGAAAATGATTATATAATACCAAATTGACTGCCACCAAAAGCTGAGAGCATTTGCCCCTTAAAGAGAAAGGGGTACTTGAGTCTATTATTCATTACATTTCTACATACTTTACAATTCCTTATCTCCACTTTTCTGTTATTCATGTAGATATTGTGCTCTCAATAACCATCAGCACCCTAAAAATGTTCTTCAAACTCTACCCACTTCAACCCCCCAAAATAGTAATCAGTTTCTTTTCCATAGACCCATTGTAAAAAGAACTGTTTGTTCAAATGAGTTGCTTCACTGAAGATTAAATGGATTGTTAACATTTTATCACAGAACAAACAACCATTTTTCATTGTTACTGATTTTAATGAAAACAATGCTCTTATCATCTTTGCCTACAAGTAATGAACTTTTAAAAATAACATTTTGCAAATATTTTTCTTTCCACAATACCATTTAGGAAATTCTGCAGTTATTACACCGCTATACAAATGTTATGAATAATTGTGATAATCATGAATTTAACTATATACAGCAAACAAATCAGCCTTTACCATCCAAAATTCAAAGACTATGTTTTTTTTTGTTGTTGTTGTTGTTTTTTTTTTAAGAAGCACTTTAACCATGAGAAGCACTGTTATACTGGCCTCTGTCATTGTCATTATTTCAGAGATGTGCTATCTTTTGAAAATATAGCGCTAAATAGAATTGATAGGCAGATTAGGTAAGTCATAGATACAAACATATAGGTATATGAGTGATCTCTTGATAGACATGCATCCTGCCATAATTTTCGTTTTTATGTAAGGTGATAAAGAACTAAGGGACATAAAACTAATTAGGTTACCTTATGTTTATATATGTAGGGCAGGGATGATTAAATCCAGCTTCTCAGTCTTTGAAGTACAAGATTGAGATGTCATGACCACTAAATGAATTGATCACTATTATTTGATTTGCATGCCGAAAATCCAGGACAAACACATTTAAACCTGCAGTTAAACAACCATCTGAGCTAGAGATTAAGAAAGGAGGGTTCTTCCCAGATGGACACTGACATTGTAAGGAATCTACACTGCAATAGAAAAATAATTTAACAATTAAAAAAAGGGATCTGAGTGAGTTATAAATACCAACAAACAAAATTCAATTTACTAACATCTCCTATTTGTAGGAGGCTGTTACAAAACAAAAGTCAGTGTGGTTCAAAAATTGTAAATTGTGTTTCTTCTCTCAAAACAATAATTGTTTAATGCTAAAGCAGTTATAATCAAAAGCTGTACAGACTTTGTTAGAAAACATTTATCCATAAATATTGTTCAGTTCCCGGCACTTGCAGCAATAATTAAATTACAAACGATAAATATGGCATCAACGGATATGTATTTACAAAAAAAAAGTTATTACAAAAGGCAACTGTATACTAAACGTCACAATCTGTGTAGAGTAACATCATATCCTCAGCCTGAAAAAATACTGAACAACAAGTTTCGACCCCATTAGACGAAGATACATTCACAAGTGTAATGCTTTGAAGAAAAGTTCAAGACATAACAGGACTTTGGCATGGTTTAAGACTGTGAGAGTTTAAACAATCACCACTAAGGCGAAGAAGAATTTCCATCAGTTTAACATCACCACCACCAAGCCTTCGATAACTTCCTCAAGAAACAGGACAAGTGTTAAAATGATTTGAAGGAGTTTCAGAACGGGGTGTACAGAGAGCAAGAGGAAGGGGCAGGAAAAGCAGTGAAAAGATTTTGTAAAAAAAAAAAAAAAAAAAAAAAATTCCTTCAAATGCCAAAACATATTTTCTAATCCTGAGAAAAGGGCATGGCTACTTTTGGATCTTGCCCAAAACCTTCCTGAACAATTGCAATTACCAAGATGTAGCCCTATATATGGCCTCTTGCTTTAAAACTCCATTTCCATCTGATTTGTCTCGGTTTTCTTTTTTTAATGCGTTTTGGTTGTCCTCAGACGTACCATTCGTTAAAATTGGGAGGAAGTCCAGGGTTGTGGCTGGTGCTAGTTTGAACTGCAGAAGGGGTTTTAGTGGTATCTTTACTGTTTGCAGAAGCTATAGCGGGTGGAGTGGAAGATTCATAGCCTGAACTGGCAGCAGGGGATGAATCTGACCCTTGAGATTCATGAACCTAAAATTAACATGTATATATTATAATGAATATAATTCCAACTGGCAATGTGAAAGCAATATAAATAAATAAAAAACCCCAACAACAACAAAACAAGAGCAGATTTGAACACTGTAAGAGCAAGACCGCCCACTGACCCACTTAAAAGAAAAACGTGATTTAAAATTTTTTCCATATTACTGATGTCTAGATACCCCTAGTATTTCCATCAAAAAACCAAGCTGGAAAAGAAATAAGGAATTTCATTTTAGTCGTGCTACTTTAAAAAATGCTTTCTCCGTGGATGGAGTGGGCAAGTAGTTATTTTGCGGGCCTTATGAAATAGTCACTCCTGATTTCACAGCCAGATTTCGTCCTGGGAAACCAGGTATAGAGATGAGTGGCACAGGGGTGGATTGGAGACTGGGGGCTGTGAATTCCCACATATGTCTTGGAATCAGACTGTGCTCCTCAGCCCTATTGTTTCATGAGAAGTCGAGGAGCAAACGAACGACTCTACCTCGGGTTCGGCGGGTCCACTCCGGATTCCCACCGTGGGCTAAGACAGGAGGAGGTGGCCGCTGAAGCTTGAAGCCCTGGCGAGCTCGGTTAGAGCTTTCCGGTAAACAACTGATTGTTCCCTCCACTCTCTTTCCCCCTCCCAACCGTGCTCACTCTCCTTCTGCTCCCCCCACCACCCCCCACCCTCAAAATGGGTTCAAGGTGTCAGTGCTGGAGCAAATCGGATTTAACGTGGATGATAGAGGGTTGGCAGCGTGGGCGCTTCCGTTCTGCAGCCCTGTATCAGACCAAATGTTTACAAACCGCCGACCGCTAATAAAGAGGTAATTACCTTCATGTGTTTGCGCAGGGAGCTCGGGTGTGTGTAAGACTTGTCGCACACTTTGCATATGTAGGGCTTATCCGAGGTATGAACATGCATGTGCTTCTTGCGGTCACTGCTGTTGGCAAACCGTCTATCGCAGCCTTCGAATTCACATTTAAAAGGTTTCTCACCTGCAAAAGGGGAAAAATGCAAAAGGAGGGGGAGAACATAGTTAAACCCAGAAACTTCTCCAAGTGCTACCGCGGAAGATTAGCGTCAGTGTTTCTGTAGAGGGAAGCGCGGACTGTGGAAGGATGAGGCATCTGTTTTCCCAGGAGAAAAACCTAGAGTGTTGGTTGAGCTCGCTGGATTGGGAACGGTGATCTGAGGCAGGGGTAGAGTAGGGCCGGCCCAGAACCTCATCATCCCTTTGTTTTCTCAGGACAAGAAAGCTCACGGACCCTCCGAAGTTTGCCCTAAGTTGGGGTCCCACGCCAAAAGAACCAGGGTTCCGAATGTGCGAACACATTGTGCTACCACCTAGGCGGTGTAACTAAGCCTGGCAGGACAATGGGCCGGCATGGGACAGTCCTATCCGTCCCCTTCTTTGTGTCTTTTAATTTGCCTCTTTCAAATGTAGCAATTTTGCAAAGCCTCGTAGTCTTACTAATTTTCGGAAAGAAAACACTATAAATCCAGGGGCTACACAGAATTTTACAAGAGGTTGTTCTGAGCAAACCAAGGAAACTATAGTGCCTTTTCTACTTTAGCTTTCCTCCAGAGGACTGAACTGAACCTGAAGCTCCAAATAAAAATACTTTGACAAAAGTATCAGTCATTTAATTAGGAGATATGCCAATCAAGTGTAAAAAAGAACGGAAGTAACCAAAGTTAGTTTTCATTAGCATTTCTATGGTTGCCTTCCTCGAATGTGTTCAGAGAGCTAAGTCGCTTGTAAGCAATATACTCTATCTCAACACTTTCGGAGTCTCCTCCTAGTAACCCAGAAAACAAAAAGAGGTGGCGTCAGTTGGTTCCTGGGCGCGAGAAGGTCCCAGTTAAGTTCCTGAGACCACAGCAGTAGGCAAGGGAAGTTAGAACTCGGCAAAAGCGCCTCAGGTTCCCGGAGGGTGAGGGGTGGAGAGGCTGTGACAGTACTTCTTTACTGAATAGCCTCGGCGGGGTGCCGCCCCTCTGCTTGGCCTCCACCCCCCACTCTGTTCAAGTACACTTAGTGGCAGGGTTCCCCCAGGAAGGCCAGTGCCCACCTGTCTGCTTCCCTTACCTGTGTGGGTCCTTTTGTGGATCTTGAGGTTCTCAGAGCGGGCAAAAATCTTCCCACAACCTGGGAAGGGACATGGGAAGGGCTTCTCGCCTGTGTGCACTCGGATATGGTTGACCAGTTTGTACTTCGCCTTGAAAGATTTGCCTTCGCGGGGACATTCCTCCCAATAGCAGACGTGATTATTCTGCTCAGGGCCCCCGACATGCTCCATAGTGACATGAGTAACCAACTCGTGCATGGTACTGAAGGTCCGGTCACAGCTCTTCTTGGGCCGGCTCAGCTGAGCCTCCTCGATCCACTTACAGGACAGCTCCTGCTTGATGGGCTGCCGCATGTAACGGAAGAATGCGCCAGGCCCGTGGTGTGCCGCCACGTTCACGCCCATGTTCATGTTCATGGGGCTATAGTTAGGGAACTGCGCACTGGCCGCGTAGGGGTCTGTGCGCGGGCTAGCTACAGGGCGGTATGGGTCTGCACGGCCAAATAGCTCCCCGCGGAGCCCGAGATGGACCTGGTTGTTGTCCATGTGCCCTGTGGGCGACGGGTGCCCAGCGCCCTGCTCATGAAGCCCAGGAAAGAGCAAGTACCCAGGAGGCTCAGGAATACCAGCTGGAGCGTGAAGACCACTGGCCGAGCCAGCGAAAAGCCCATGCTGCCCGCCCCCGGAGGCTGCCTCGCTGAGCCCAGAACCACGCTGACGGAACAGAAAGTCGCGAGTAGAGTTGAAGGCGGCAGAGGCAGCACCGCCGTAGGTGGGCACCTGGCTGGCGTGATGGTGGTGATGGTGGTGGTGGCCCAGGGCGTTGGCATAACCTGAACCTTGCGGTGTGAAAGCTGAGCTCTGGCCCGAAGACAGATCATGAGCGGTGGCTGGGCTCAACTTGAAGGCGGCGGCCGCAGCAGCAGCCGCAGCATGGGTTGAGTCCCCGAAGGGATTCAATCCCATGCCTGCAGGCTCGCGGTTGGGCATCTCATGGTGGCGCGGAGCACCGAAGCTGCCCACTCCCAGCCCAGGGAACTGCGGGCCTCCGTCCAGGAGCATCGTCATAGGTGGGGCGTCCTGGACACAGAAGATCAGGCTGAAGTGAGCAAAGGTACAGGTACAGGCGAAGGAGATCTCTGAAGAGCCGTAGTTGTAGAGGGATGGCGGCGGCTGAACACAGCTCGGAGAACCCCTAGGCGCTACCGGGAGCAGCAACTTTCCTTGGTTGTAAGAGTCTCCTGCAGAGGGACAGGAAGGAGGAGGGAAGAAAAAGGATTGAGGGTGGGGGGTGAAGGGAGAGGAGAAGGGTGGAGAAAAGACTCTAGGACTAAATTTGCTTAACAAACTAACAGGAGCGCACAAAGAAAAATAAGCAAAATAATAAGTGGAGGGCGGGGTTTGTCAATCCTGTCCCGGACACCCCTCCTCTATTCTAGAGCGCGGAGCCACCGGGCCAGAAGGCTCCTTGGGTACCGGCTTTCCGGCGCGACTGCACCAAGTAGTGCAGGAGGATCGTGGCTAGCAGGCAGGCAGCCAGCCTGTATTATGCAGGCTCGAACCTCGCTGTTCGCCTTGCGAGTCCAAGTCTCTTCACTTCCAGAGTAATGTCCTTGGACTGATAAAGTCAATCACTCACTCGCACATAAACCAAGCGGGAGGCTGGGCAGCGCACACCAATGGGGAGCCAGCAGGCCTGAGATCACCTGACCCCCGGCCCTGCCGCCCATTGGCCACCGCCACACTGATTGGCAGTGTGAACAGAAGAACATGGCAGCTGCTGCCGGGCGACCACAGCTGATTGGGTAGCTGCGGAGCGCCCTGGCAGGTGAGGCGGCGGCTGCTCAGCTTCCCTAAGTGGGTTGCGCTGTGCTTCCCAGGCTGTGAAGAACTGCGGCCAGGCTTTGGCAAGCTAGGGGACAGAGTTGGGCCTCTCCTTGACTTTCCCTGTTCCAAGCCTGCCCCAAGCACCGCTCCCGCGATCTGCACCCGCTTGGGCTAAAGAAACTCTTTGACCCGAGAAGATACTTCTCTCTACCGTTCCTTTTTTGTCCAGCAGACACTCTGGTGACCACTTAGGACCCTGCCACCGCACCGCTTTAAGAACGCGTTCCCTCCGTACGTGCCGAGAACAAATTCCTGCACGAGTGGAGCAGATCCGTATTCCTGACCAGCCGCGGCTTCCACCCTACACCCGGACCCAGGCAGGGTTAGCTCCTCGCTTCCTGTGCCCCAAACTCAAGGTAGACGTCCACCGCCTTAACTAGAAGAAACAATTGCTCATAGAACTGACGTCCGGAACTTCGGAGTCAGGCTGTGACCTGCGGTCTGTGATTAGCGGCTGTACTCACTGCTACTCAGCAGCATTCTCCCCGCCCGGTGATACGACATACACAATACAACAACCATATAGAGCATAAGCTAAGCAAACGGCAGGAAACACAATTGAGACAGAAAACAAGCACACCTCATGAAACACGCGGAGCATGATAAATAAAGAACACAGAACAGCAAACATAATAGACACAAACCAGAAACATGCATAAATCCTAAATATTCAAGAAAACAGCCTATGCACACAAAACACAGTAAACACACTAGACAGTCACTGGTTTCCCTGTGCCTGAATCAACAAGCTTTGACTCCTCAACGTTTTGAACCACAAAAGTGGAAAGGACAACTAGTATCTGGAATTATCCTTCCCTTTTAACATCCTGTGCTTTGCTCTCTTCTATGCCTACCCAGAGAAGCATCTTTACAGGGGATTGTGTTTGAGTGGCCTCCTTACCCCACTACTGTTCTCCTGGTGTGAATTTAGATTGTTTTCTGAACAAAATGATAAGAAACAGGGTTATAAATCCACTCATGGTTTGTCCAGCAAAGGATAGAGGAAAGTGAGTGGGAAGAAAAGGTTGTGAGATGTCTGTGGCCAAATCTTGAGCAGGACAGAGCCCCGAAGTCTATTCCTTTGGGGGGGGGGGGGGGGGCGGGTTCACAGCCTGGCAGCCATCTCTCTGTAGGAAACAACATCTGCTCAAGTTCAGAGGCACCAGGAGAAACCCTCTCAAGCAGCGCTTTCTAACTGCAGCTTTTCTGCCCTCCTATGTGATTAATTTGGCCAACACTTCACCTCTATGCTAGTTTGCTGAGAGAAAGTGCTACTGGCCCCACATCTTATAATAGTCACCCCTTCACATCCAATTCACCCCAGTCTCCCTTCACATTCAGAGCCTTCTCCCCAAGAAGGAAGGTGAGCTCACTGCTGACTTAAATTATTCCATCTCCTGAAAATAAGCTCTCCAAAAAATGGCTTCATTATCCCTCTACAGAGTTTCTTTAAGAGGGTCTGGGGAGTTTTGGAGAATGACAAATATGCTTAAACCATGCAAATTAATTCCGTGGAGCCAGGTTTGCAAAAAGGGAGAACTGCTTTTCTTCCTTCCCTCTTTTATTTTTTCTCAATTTCCTCTTGAGTATCCCTCTACTTCTCATCAACCTTATCAACCCAGGGTGTGTAGCTGCCTAGGAGAAAAAGTTTGGATGCCCTCGCTGAGCGGGTCCTAGAAATAGCCATTCTAGAAGCTTGGATATTGACAGGCGGCTGTTGCTCCACTGAAGCTGCAAGAGTTTCCCAGCAATCCCTGCAGATGCCTGGATAAGCGAAGGTCTTGCAAGATTGGAAATCTGGGCAAGACACCCGGCAAAGGATTGTAGAAGTGGGTTGGCAGTTGGGGACTAGCATGCCTTATTTTGGGGAAGAGTCTCGAACGCAGGGCCAGGGGATAAGTTGTCGCAGCTGACCTACCGAGTACCCAGTGTCCGTTTTGATGCGGCCACATTCCGATAATTAATTGCCTCTAGCACGCGCTCTGCAGTCCCTGGAACAAAAAGGCATAATTCAATTAGATTATCAACCGAGAAATGGGAAGGTGGGAAAGGGGGAGGGGAGTGCTACTTAAGGAGCAGATTCAGCTCCAGATTCAGCAGGCCAAAACCTGGGCAGAGGAGCTCTTCTCCCGGTAGCCAGGCCCCTTTGGAGAGCAGTTGTTCAGTGAGGCTCAGGGTTTCCAGGTAATCTCCTCCCGCCGACAAAGGATGAGACTGAGAACTCTGTGAGCAACAGGGCACGGGCCGGCCATTCGAATTCTGTTGTGGTTACGATGGATGGGAGTTTCCATATTTTGAGAGGGGACGCCCTGACTCTTAATAGCGATGGAAAGTATTATCTCTTCAGCTGTAGCAAGTCGCTGCATGAAAGAATAAAGCTCCCTACGCCTCACAAAATAAACCAGTATTTTAGGGTACGAGAAAAGTTAACTTTTTTCTCATAAGTTGCGGCTTCTCTCCCAAGCCGCCTTTTTGAAGGAGACATTTGGAACGACTTGCAGTGGGTGGGGGTGGATAGAGAACTTTCAGGAGCTGAATCTGAGAGCCAGCCAAGTGGCGACTTGAAAGAGCAAAATTGTCCCTGCACTGAAGCTAGGGCAAGAGTTGGAGAGCGTTCATGCCCCCCTCCCCTTTCCCCCAGGTGCAGAAAAGAATCATAGCATCAGGCAGGACCACTTGAACCCAGGTCGTGGTTCTTATTTTCCACTATAACCGAGGTTTCCCTCAGCAGCTTTGGCTTATGGGGTTTACATGTGTATTAGGTAGCCTAAATTAACCAATAAATCTCTTTTATGTGTCCCCCAGTTGTATGTGGTCTGGTCTAAATATCCACATGTCTGCATGGATAGGAAATATAATAGGATCCTTTCCCTCACACTGAGTTCAAACAGTAAAGGGGGAAAAGATTTTTTTTTATACCCAAATCTAAAGCAATAAATAAAATCAGAGAGGCTTATCATTGCCAAAGGAGCAAAGCTTTTGAGTCTGATTCTTTGTAGAACATATCTTGGAGGGGGGGAGAAGGAGAAGGAGGAGGAGGAAGGGGAGGAGGAAAATAAGGTGGCTGTGAGGGGCAACAGAGTAGAACTGGTTTCTCCATAGAACCCAGAGCCTCAGTCCGCAACACTTTGCCCTTTGTTCTAGTCGCCTCAAAACACAAAACATATGCCACACATTCTCTTATCATGCAGTATTTTTAAAAATTCTGTATCGGACACGAAATGATCCTAAGTCGGAGACCTAGCAATTTTCTTTAAGTCCAAGAGAAACACTGCGGTCTTTACTTCTGTTTTATATTTAGAAAAGACTTGCAATCTAACACTCACAACATTTTAAAGACCCTTTAAACCCAGCAAGCGGATTTCCGTTCTGCCAATGCTTCCTGATTTATTTCAATAAATGAATCTTTGAATCCAGGAAGGGAATTATTTCAAGACGCTGAATTTGGTGCCCTTGCCTCTCACCAATGGAGTACAAAGTATTTCTCATTGAAACATGTCCTTGAAACTCACTATTATTTGCAGTTTTTTTTTTCCTGGTAAACGACAATTTCTTTACATAAATCTCCACCCTCTCTCCAGAGTCCCAGATCTTTCAAAAAGAAGAAGAAAGAAAAAAAAAAAAAAAAAAAAAAAAGCAAACGGCAAATAGTAATAAAAAATGAAGGGGGAAGAAAACAGGGGGAAAGAATGCGTTTTTAACCCGTCTTTATTTTTATGCTAAGATAAAGCTCTTAATTGGCTTCAGTGGCTGAGCTGAATGACTCTGGGAACTGCGCACACACTTAACAAGAGCTCACCGAGACCTAGATTTTACTGACTCCATCAGTTTTCACTATGGTCTGGTCATTTGGCAAATATTTCATAAGCCCTAAATACCCTTAAAAATTAATAGAGTATCATCAGATAGATACTGTTAATGAACCTTTTTTTCCTTAAATAAATTTGTTTTGTCTTTGTCCTATGTAATTTCAAGGCATATTGTTGTCTGATGTAATGAAATGCAAACTGGACAAAAATGAGACATTTTCATTGTACTTGTCAATCAGGGCTGTGCAGATATATACACTTGAACTTTGGAGACCAAACTTGGACACAGAAGGCAGGGAGTTAAACTAAGGGACCATCAAAATTTAGTTTGAGATTAAGAAAGCAGCTCCTGAAGTACAGGAAATTGAGTGAAACTTTAAGTAGTAGGCAGCACTCATCATCAAATCCCTGGTGAAAGGTTGGAGATAAATGGTGATCCTGTCTCTTCAGGTGCTGTCACCAAAGAGTTCCTTTATGCTTCCAAGGGTTTCCTGTTGTTTGTCTCCAACAAACAAACCAAAGTGGCTTGGATGCCAAAAAGGACAAGTCACATTGAAA